GCCACAGCGCCCCGGCCCTCCCCTCCCTCACCGCCGGCCGGCCCGGCCCGGGCCTCCGGTTCACCGGGACGCAGCGTCCCGAGCGGTGGTTTTTGTTTTCCCTCAACCGCTCGAGAAAGCCATCAAAGCGGTTGCTTCGTCTCTTGGCTTCGGAGGGGTTTTCAGCCGTCTCTAGCTCGAGGCCATTAGGAGTGCCCTCCAGCAAAACAATGCCGTGGGTGCCTCCCGGAAAAGGTAAAAATTGAGAGGGAAAAGAGCCAAAGTGCAGCTGGAAGGGGAAGGCAACCACTGCGCCTCGGTGGCTAGGCCCGGAGCGGGCCTTGTGTTGGCGGTGTGTTTTGCTGCAGTTATCAGGCACAGTATTGGGGAGGAGGTGCCCAGAGACACCGGAACATTGTGGCGGGTAATCTTGTGATATTTAGGCCAATCTCATGCGGTCTTTTTCTGAGGTGGTTGCAGCAGCATCTTCCTTCTGTCACACACGTGCATGCCAGCCTGCCACCCCGTGCTCTCTCATGGCTTAGAAGGACATCTCAAAATCTCAGCTGGAGCACATCAGATTTGTCTCTCGCACCTCCAGTTTACCTCCCTCTCCTTCACAATTGCATATGCTGTGTCCTACCACTTCTCCCCTGTACCTCCCTTCTCCACCATGCTATCCCACCCCAAAAGTCAGCTACAGATGCCTCCCTTCTGCTGTTCCTCTTCATGTTACTATCTTCTAAATGTGCTAGAAATCTTTTCGTATCTTCTAAAAGCACTAGAAAGCACTTGACAGGGAAGTCTCCCTCTCATTTCATTCTCAGAGATGAGGGAAGCATCCACAGACCCTTAGGATGCCTTTCATTCTTCCTCGTTTCTCTGGAGAGGAAAACTGAACCACTTCCATGGCTCTCAATCACCATAGTTAGCTAAGGAAAAAAACCCAACAAAACAAACCCAAAATATTACTGGTCAATGCAGGCAGGCAACAGCCAAAAGGGCAAATACCTCCCACCCAAACAATCCACTGGTCCCAGCCTGTCTCTCGGGTCTCTCCCTTCTTGGCCTCACAGTTCCTATGCCTGTTGCAACGGACAGGATTGCATTGGGTCACTTCAGAGAAGTGCAGATCCTCTCTTGCAGGACTGGGCATCCAGACAAGAGCACATCAGGGCAAGGGACTGTGACTCCAAAGCCCGATCCATAGCCAGACACACGGTAGTCATGTGGTGTGAGAGAGCTGCACTTCAGTCACATGGTTTTTTTTAAACCGTCCCGAAGGACTGAACAGAATTACAGTAACATAGTTAAGCATTAACTTGCTCCTACTTCTGCTGTAAATAGTAGCATGGCTGCTCCCCTTTGTGGTCGTGAGTGCTGCGGAAAGTTCAGAGCAGTTTTGCTCAGTGAACACCCAGAGTTAAATTAGGGATGCTGAGATGCATAATGAATAGTGTGTGAATACTAAAATGCTACAACATAAAAAAAATACCCTTATAGGCTTTATTGTGCACTGGTTGATTTGGGATAAGTGGCGCATGGGGTATGAGAAATGAGCCCAAGCTAACAAACCCAGGAATTACAGTTGTAGCAGCTTACCTTGCCTGACGGGAGATGAATTTGGGGTAGGCAGGAGAAGCACCTGCTGGCAGTCTCAGGGTGAAGCCCCCCAAGATGGGGTATCTTGGGGTAAGGTGGTACCTTCCAGAGACTCGTGGACCTTTTCTGCCTTTCACCTGCTTCCTTCCAGGAAGTCAGACATGGCAAACGCGAGGGGCTGCTATTCTTCCCCAGAGAAGCTGGAAAGCCTTCCCAGGAGATGCGTTGGACTGACTCAGCGCTCACACCCCATCCCGGTAAGTCTCGGCAAAGTTTGTGAAAGAGCTAAGTGCACCTGGGAACACTTCTGCATGCGCTTTCACTCTGGAGGCTCATGGGGTTTGAAAGCCAGAGGAACTTTCCCCTTCACTTCGGACGGGCTTGGATGAGAGCCCCAGAGGACACACAGTGACCCAACATTGTGAAATTATGAAATGTGTCAGAGAACACTCGTGGTTTCTTAGTATCAGAAGAGAGGCCGTTACGTAATGGTCGCTACTGTAGGGGAACAGGAATGTCTGCTTGGTTCCATGATTGCAGGGGAAGCAGTAGCAATTGATGCTTAAGCATGGTAATTTTGTTCAATCCCTCAAGACTGTTAAAAAAAACCCCTCCAAACGCAACCCAAGCCCCAAACAGTGGAAAAAGTCTGGAGTGGTTTAGTTATGTGACACACAAATACCACCCTACGATCCCATTCGCTGCCCTGCAAGAGGAGGAAATTGGTGCTCTCCAAAAGAGGGAGCCCGAGAGCCTGGAAGCAGAAGGCAAGATGCGCTGTTTCTCACCCCACCCCGTATGCCATCGCCCCGGTCGCTGACTGTTCCTGTCCTCGTGTGCTAGAAGTTACAAGAAGCCGGTGCTTGACTGTGCTAAAAAATACGCTTGCCTGATGCTGGACTGGCAGGACACTTCTGTGGCACTTCGGGACATGGTTCAGTAGGCATGGTGGTGTTGGGTTGACAGTTGGACTTGATGATCTTGAAGGTCTTTTCCAAGCTTAATGATTCTATGCCAAAAGCACCGCAGGGATGCTATGTCCTCTGCGAACCCAAAGCCGGTCTTTTACTGGCACAACCGTCGGACAAAAGTGTGCACAGCCACCGCTCGCTCTGCCCTGCCGCAGCCGCTCCGCCGCTGCTTTGCTTGCCGTTCTCGTGCCACGCCACAAGGAATGAGTACGGCTTTTGGCAGGAGGCGAGGGCTGCAGGCCACCGAGCCTGGCTGCCGAGTGCCCGGCGGGCTCCAT